TAGGCAGCGATCGATTCCGTGTGAGGCTGCATTCATGCCTGCGGCCTTTTACCGTCCTTAAAGTGGTAGCCACAACGCTACAGCGCGTCGGCGCGTGTCACGCGAAATCTGAGCGCTGCTTCAGTATCTGTGACAACGATTAATGTCTATGTAACGCCGTCAAGTCAAAACATAATAAGCTAGACAATTTTTGTAGCGCTAAAGGGCAAGGAGGAACAGCTCGCGATTATTCAACTTGCGGAATCCTTCAACAACCCACGCGTGGTCTTGAATAAATGTCACTGCTGAGTCGTTCATCGCTTCAGAAATCGACCTCTGCAATCTTCTAGGGACTCGCAAAGTGGTTAGATAATCAGAAGTTTGGATGCTAGGAAACCTTCAGGAGGCTTTGCTGATGCCTGCAATTAAGCCGCCCAGTTCCAATTTTTTTCGCATATGTTAAGGATTACTCTTTGTCGGAAAGCTGACCTTCCAAGAGACAGGTGGCATCCTTTATTTTCCAGGTGGACGTTTTTCAAAAGAAGTTGGCATAAAGGAAGTACTTTCAACAGAAACGCAACGATGAGTGTGGCCTGAAGGATTGGGAAATTGCCACATTCGATGAGAATGGGAAGCATGCTCATACCGTCAAGGTTCGTGCACAGTTGATATCATTCGCATCGTTATGTTTGTGGCTTAGAGCGCGAACAACTTTGCGGGTACTATTGCGGACTCACGTGGCTTATTATCGCAACTTTGAAACAAAATGTGCGCTACTCATGAGATCTTATCCTTGTCATGTGCTCGGAGAACTGGTTGACAGCTTCAGAAATGTGACAATTTCGTCATTCCATTGAACGAGGAAATAAGGCTGGAGGGGTGGTGATAGCTGGCGTCAACTTTCTTTCTATCAACACGCAAAGCCAAGCACGTAACATGCCGCACGACCAGCCACACGCCTGACTATGGCCAAATGCGCTACTTGTTCGCGCTATCTCACACTTGCGTTGCTGTATACTTCGCTGCGCATCTTTACTGCGAGATATGATATCGATGTAGCTGCTGCAGCTCAAGGATAAGGCGGGTGGGCAGGCGAACACCATTGAGCTACCACGCCTCCAGCCTGGTTTTCGCGCGCTTCCAAGGATCCAAAATGTCCCTCTTGCCTACCCGTTCTCCCACATGGCAGAGGTTTTCAGTACGTGAACGTACGTAATCGCTTTGAAACCACAATTCTCCGTTCATATGGCCTGTAATACAACAAAATGCCGTCGAATTAAGGTAATCTTGGACGGAATCGGTCGTGTCACGTACAATGTTGGAGACGACTTGAAGCCAGTGCAGAAGGATCGCCAGGGAGCTATTTGCAAAGGAGAATGCGCACCTCTCTAAATCTACGCTTTCTCTGCTCTTAATAAATAGTTTCGGGCGGCATCACTATCGAAAAGCACAATACATTATATTTAGTAAGAAAAAAAAACAAAAACTGAACATAATCTAGCACCCTTTTGTCTCGCACCACAGCACGCAGGTATTCATTCAATGTAGAAAGAGGTGAATGAAAGGTGCACCCACATTGCCGATGCCACCCTAGTGACCAGTGCCAATCAACAGTAGCCGGCGTGATTCAGCAGTGCGTACTCTCCTGTTCTTCTGTAATCTTTCCATACACAGGAGTGCGGCGTCGATCGATTCCCGCCTGTGGTTACGTTCGCGCCCACAGCCGGAGCGCTGCTGCAATTGTGACGCGTTACAGCGCGTCGCTGCGGAGTCTGAAAGCTCCGCAGTAAGCAATGCCTTGAGTACCTACTATTCAACGCGTCTAACTGTAGCAATCAGAATCATTTCATTGTGATAAGCCTTCGCTAAAACAAATGCACCTTTTGAATGATTTGGGTCTTACTCTTCATTACACCTGCGTTGCCATGCGGTGGATAGTCGGTCTTCTATTCATCTTTCCGGTCGTCAGCTCCCGCAAAGGGAATGAGCGGGATCATTATGATCGTGATCATTCAGCACAGACACTTCTGGTGAGTTGCTTCTAACCACACTTCAGACAATGAGCAGTCACATCTGCTAACCAGCTTAATGTGAGGTGCCCCCCGAGCGCTATCTATGATCCTACCAGTCGCAACCCGTAGTGTAGTATGTTGCCATGGGTATATCTGGGTATATTACTACGAAGTCTGCCTCAAATTTCCAGCACGTGTCGCAGCACCCTGGAGAGTGGCTTTCAGCAGGTGCCATAGGAGCACTGCGCGAGGGATGGGGGGGGGAGGGTGGGATGGAGACATAAGAGTGGGTGAAGTGGAAACAGATGCAAGTGATCAGCTCTGATAAGAGGATGTAAGGGAACCCGGGCAAAGACAGTAATAATTTGTCGCGTGCGACGGTGCGCGGCGACTCTTGGATATGCGTCAGTTTGCCGACTGAAACAGCAAAACATCATAAGAATGCGAGTGGAGACAGGACTCCATGACAAACGATGTCGAATTTCTCTGTCCCTTTTAAATCGAATTCATACGACCAGGTAGGACAACTCCTCTGCCACGGAGGCGTCGCTCTCCAGGCACACCAGCGCGGCATGCTACGACTGTCTTGTCTCTCGTCCCAAAATAAGAGTGTTAGCAAAGTAACTAAGTCCTTTGTCGTGATGGCAAATATGGCTGATGACAAGGTGGCCACCAGATGCTACTGACAATCAATAAGAAATGATATGAGCAATGAATGTTAACTATGAAAACTGTTTGCCGCACTCTATCGTTGCAATAGCTATGGCTTATTGGAGATCAGAGGATCAACAAATGCATGTTCCCTGCCTATTGTAATGGCGATGGCATCAGAGACCACTGGATCTAGACCGCTCGCAAATTCGGAGCGCATATAAATGGTAGAAGTTTGTTGAGGTCATTTGTGATATGCACAGGTGAGCGCGGGGAAAGCCGAGTGGTTTAAGGCATGCAAGGCGGCGTTCAGACTTCGCGTCAACGCATGCAACTGTTGTAACAGCGTTTCAATCTTATGGAGGCGAACGCAGAAGCAGACCGTAGTCGATCGACACAGCTTGCTAACCTACCATCCGGTACCGATCACCTCCGCCGGCTAATGCCGTTTGGACGCTTAGTTTAGTTTAGTTTATTACATGACTGAGCATGTGAGTCGCCATCAGAGGGGTGCGAGGTTAAAATAACATACAAAAAAAAGAGTGAATTCCACAAGGACCATCGGTATTATGTAGAACACGCAGGAGAGATTGATCTCACGAAGGTGAAGGGAATTACATATGGCGCTGAAACTTTCGTCACGAGCTCCATGTTTTTAAGTGTACTAAATTACCAAATCCTCTGAAAACGTTAATATAAGAGGGTATTTCTAACATCCTTGATTACAACATTCATCTTGATGGGTGCTATGCGCTAATTGAGGAACACTAGCGAATTATCTGCCCTCTGTCTAAAAACTAATTCGAAATCCAGACTGACGCTTACAAATTGGTAGAATTTGTTGAGTATATCTGTGTTATGCACGAAATGATGAACTCAGGGATAGTGTGAGAGGCAGCGTTAAGACTTCGCGCGACGCGCTGTACGCACGACGCAGCTGCGATCGTCCGCGTCTGCGTTTGCGTCAATAGATCAGGGCACATCGCTGTCGGGGAATCCCCAACAGGGGGCGTACTTGGCCGCCAGGAGAGGGGGTCGTATTTGGGCTGAGAAAAATTTATTTTGATAGTTGATTTTTCTCGCTTCACGGACGTTGTAAAGGGGGGGGGGTCGTATTTGCTCATTTTGGGAGGGGGAGGGATCGTATTTACTTTTTGGCTTCCTGGGAGTGGGGTGGGAATGTGGTTTACTTTTCGTGATTTTCCTGTTTCATGCCTAGTATACAACCTCCCCCCCCCCGTCGCCCTCCCCTCGACAGCTAAATTTTCGGGAACAAGTAGGGAAATTCTCAGGAAATCTTGGAAAAGTGGGCGGAAGTTGGGGAAAATCTGAGAACTGTAGAAGGGGGATCGTATTGTCCTGTTTCACATGTGCTATTTACCTGCTATAGTTTGAAGCGCTGTTACAACTGTAGCGCACTACACTGCGTCTTCCCGCCTCATGACGAAATCTGGGCACCGCCTTGTGCGTTCATTTCATGTGCAAGCCCCTTCCAGGAAGAGTGAATCACTTTCGCTGCACAAAATACGTAATAAGCATGCTCGTGACAAAGTGACAAATGACCTCCCCTCCCCCTCCCGCGCCCACCTGTTAACGCACTTGCTCCACATCTCCGTGTACCGGGCCTAAAGTAACAGAAGGAAAAAGCCGATATCTTTATGATCCCAGCTAGTGAGAACTAGTCCGAGCTCGACTTGTTTTGGAGTTTGGATCGGGGAAGTCCTTGCTTAGAGCGTTCAAAAACAGTTTTTCTGCTTTTTTGTCACTCCTCACCTGCTCATCATTCACATTTGAACATCACTCTATACGATCCCATGAAGGTCCCACAAATACATATACGATCCCATGAAGGTCACACAAAAATTAGTGCTTATGTTAGAACATCATCTGGGAGTAGCGAGCGGAACCGCACCGAGTTCCGTGGTCAGTATGGAAGGGCGAACGAGATATGAATTGTCTCAGCCAAACAGATTGGCTCGACTGTGGACTCTGAGCGGTGGCTTACCAGAAAACTCTGAGAAGTCGCTGATTTAGTGGAAAGCAGGAACATTCGAGTCCTGTGTCTTTTGGAAAAGAGCAAAACTCGGACTATAGGTGAAAGAACAGACACGAATTAGAGTGAAGAACAACCCCTTCGACACAAAGCTTCTCTCGCTCTGGTACAGTCACAAATTTCCCAAAAAAACAAGAATATGAACGAAGCGGCTAGTTCGGTGAAGGACTACATGAAGCTGGGAAGGACGATTCCTTTGGAACCTACTACAAGCTGATCCCCTACCTTAGTTATTCAGCTAACCACGAAGAACGCAGCGGGCGAGAGCGATATGGAACCGAGGTAGTCAAAGCAGCATGGTTCTGCAATTAGGAAGCCCAGACAAGTTTTGACAGAAGGATTACAAGCGCAGACAGAAAATTACAGCCCAGAAAACTCAGCTTCTGTGTATAATCTGCGAAGGGCCCTTCGAAGCCGCTATATTCAAAGTAGAGAAAGCGGATACGCGCAGTGTACGAGGAGCTGGAGAGTCAAGGAGTAGAGAGCTTGTCTTCGCATGATTAAAGCCCAGCATGGTGTCACCCGAGACACGAACCGTAAATACCGTGGAGAGCAGCAGTGGTGCCTAGACAAAACCACAGCCGAGGTCGGAAAGAGGTGGGACAAACACTTGAATAGACACCTGAACAAGGAATTCTTCTGCAAGGGCAGTTTATAAGTAGAGGCGACGTCGGCTCCCATCGCCCTGTGGACAGCGGATGATCCGCCGAGAGATGGGTAAGATCAAGGTTGGGAAGACTACTGGCTCGCATGGTACTAACTGAGGCACGGAAGGCATTTAGAGAACACGCAGAGGGGCGGCTTGCCCGTTTTCCACACAGCATAACAGTCGACGGAAAAATTTTTTCTCCGCTAGGGCCTATGACAACTGTGTCGATGCCATGCGATGAGTACGGGTTAGGTTGCGTTCATTCTTTGGGTCAGCGTATGCCTGCATACGGCAGCGTATCGAGCATTTTGAAAGCATGCCAGCGCCTTCGACTAGGAAAGTATAGATATCGATCCAGTGTGAGCCAACGAACAGCTGATCTTCGAGGGCAGTTTTGCTTGAGCTCAGAATACCCATGAAAAAGCTGGCATACGCTGGCTAGATCGATACCTACAGTTTTCTAGAGGGGGTGCTGGCGTATGTTTGAAAAGCTGCCGTACGCTGGCTACGTTGACGCAAATTATGAACGCAGGTTAGGAGGCGCCGTGCGGCACCACTGATCGTCGCGCGCCGTCACGAAGTATGCCCTACCAGCCCTCCCAGCTCAGCAAAAGCGATACCGTTGCCAAACGTAGTGACTTCAGTTGTATCGACCCTCTTCTTCCTGATTCACTGATAGGCAATGGTCATGTTTGTTGACCGCTGGAAGTGGATGTATACTTTGTGAAAGCTCTTGGAGCAGAAGCCAACCGGTAACCTCTTTAGGATCGGCTCATCTGTGCTACAGGCAGAGACCGCAAAACCGGGCAATTCAACTTCACCGTCTGTAATCGCTATCCTAAAGCTGGACTCTTCCCTTTTTGCATCTATATGGTAGAGCCGTAAGTGTGACTGTTAGAACGGTAGTTTTGAAACAAAAGCCAACAATGAAGTAAAAAGGAAATTGCAGAGCAAAAGCGAATCTCACTGTACACTACGCTTGTGTCTATGCCGAAGATTTGCCGAGAAAATGCAGCACGCACAAGGAGTACTACTATCCAAGTGTTACAATCAATTTGAAAGGGGTATGTATTGAGCATCTTCAGCAGTCTTGCCCTGTGTAATCTGAAAAATAAATGAACCCAAGAAGGAACTTTCTATCATATTAATCCAGAGATCCAAAGCCCACAATCTGCTTGCATTCCTTCCTAATTTGCTGCTTCTGAAGCCGTTCTCATACAGCATCGAGATTCATTGCATTCCATGATTGCAGTTTCTAGGTAATTGGGTCCAAATCAGCATTTGTGGGTGCTATACGGCTTGCCTGAAACCAAAAAGGCAAAAGAATCCGATGGAAACATCATGATTGAGGTCCCCTATTTGGCAAGGTGCAGCATCGTAATGTGTGAAACAGTGGTGTAAGTACGCCTCCCCCTCCCCTTGAAGGAGAGGTTGTCATTAAGACCGTCCGAGGGGAGGGTATATAGCCAAAGTGAATAGGAAAAGTTTCGTTTGGGGGGGGGGGTATATAGCACACATGACACAGACAACCGATTACCGGGAAAAAATTTTTTCCGAACACCCCCAACACTGCAAATTCCCAGTTTGTTTAGCCTGCTGGCATCCGTTGGAATAGTGTTCCGATATCCGTGCTCACTTCCCCCCCCCCCGCACTCAGCGCATATTAGTTTTGCCCGATGCTTATAAACTGACCCAAGTGGAGACAGCACAACCGGTGAGAATGAGAACAGAAGCAAAACCAGTGAAGCTGCAAAAGAAGCACAACAGACGATGCGATGGGCAGCCGATCATCTCAGTGGCTGGGGGCTTACGTATGTCACAGTCGTCTGGCGAACTTGCCACGTACCTCTAATCCGCGAAAGAGGTTTGGCTCTGTGCAGATGTGAACTGTGTGAACTGTGTGTTCAGCTTTGCCATGGGGAAGGTCCTCCTTCTCAAGTAATCGCAGAAATGTCTTTGAAAAACATCTGTGGCTTGCTTCCCTTCCACGCACAGGAATTCCTGCATGATTCTTCATGAAAGGTAGATGAGAGAGGTGCCGCAACTGGTCCAGTCGTTTCACCTGATAGGTCCCATCGGAATGCAAAAAATTTTTCTCATGGGATCTGTTGAAATCAAATATCGGCACGGAAGGATTAACATATGACAGTAGTAAGCGCTCCCTAAGTGCCAGCTCTCGGCTCATCTATACATACGCATCAAGTCCATTTACTATACGAGGAAATGGTTTGATGGAACTTTTCCATCAAACCATTTCTTCGGAAATCCAGGAAATGGTTTGAACTTCCCATGGAACTTTGAATGGAGACCTAGGTACATCGATAGAGCCTCGAATGCTGATTACGAATATGCAGATTAAAAGTGCTACGGGGACCTCCCAGACGAGATCTGGGTGGTCAAAGTTTGAGTTCTGGCTCGTAAGCGCTGCTGATCGATGCCTGGCAGTGGCCTCGTGGTAATGGTCTCGCTTTCAAGTCAAACGCATGCGGGTTTGCATCCGGTTGGCGCGAAAATTTTTGCTTCGCTCCCTATAAGAGCTTCAACTCTAATTTTCGAAATTCTTCCGAGTTTACGGCCCAGCAGGGCAAGTAGATCAAGTCAAGTATATGACGTACTCGATCTAGTATGGATTTGGTCATATCTGCCCTCTCTGAACATATTACCAT